AAAGCTCCCTAGCCTGCCAAAAGTTAGAGAATTTTACTCCTAAGCACTTTGTTTCCTAGATACAATTCTAATTACAAACAGAAGTTCCTTGCAGTCCTATATAAAATTCTCTAGGAGACAGAAACAGTAAGATTTAAAGATTCAAAGAATCAACAATTGCATTGATTCTCTATTTAAACAAACAAAATAGAAAGAAAAGGAAAAAAATATTCTAGCTGAGAAAACTTGAGTGGAATAGCAGAACTTCAAAAACCGTTTTTGAGGGCACCTAGGTGGCTCAGTCAGTTGAGCATTCAACTTTTGATTTCTGCTCAGGTCATGATCCCAGGGTCCTGGGATCAAGCCCCACGTTGGGCTCTGTGCTGAGCTTGCTTAAGACTCATCCTCTCTCTCCCTCCCTCCCTCAGTCTCTCTCTCTCTCCTCTCCCCCACCCTTCCGACTGCCCCTCTCTCTCACTCACTCTGCAAAACAATTAATTAATTAATTAACAAATAATAAAATTTTGCTATCCCATTTCAAACATTCTTTCAGTAAAACAAAATTAAGAAATTTCTAGAATTAACTTGATTCTAAAATTTAAATTCCTTTCTTTTTTAGCTAACATAACTATATACATATTTTGATCTAGGACGAAATATATTATGTTAAACCACAAAAATGCTGCAACTGAATAGAACGTCAATGTCTATAGTCTTATAGAAAATGCTATAAATAAAACATAATTACCCATCATAGGCAATTTTTGTTACTAGTGTTGTCAGTACTTTTATCAAGATTAATCCCTACATGTTGAAGAGCTGGATACAACATAAATCCAGAAAATTAATCTTCCTTTATAATTAAAAAAGAAAAACACCTCAATTTTTTTTTTATGTTTATTTTTGAAAGACAGAGAGAGGGAGGGGGCACACCCACAGCACCCACAGGCAGTGGCAGGGCAGAGAGAGAGGGAGACACAGAATCTGAAGCAGGCTCCAGGCTCTGAGCCATCAGAGGCTTAACTGAGTCACCCAGGTGCCCCTAAAAAAACTCAAGATTAAAGATGAACTCTTTGGGGCGCCTGGGTGGCGCAGTCGGTTAAGCGTCCGACTTCAGCCAGGTCACGATCTCGCGGTCCGTGAGTTCGAGCCCCGCGTCGGGCTCTGGGCTGATGGCTCGGAGCCCGGAGCCTGTTTCCGATTCTGTGTCTCCCTCTCTCTGCCCCTCCCCCGTTCATGCTCTGTCTCTCTCTGTCCCAAAAATAAATAAACGTTGAAAAAAAAAATTAAAAAAAAAAAAAAAAAGATGAACTCTTTAAAATATATGTATGTTTCTACAAAGAGGATTTTTGAGATTGTTGTCTTTGAAAGACAACCCAGTGAATACTGTGGCTCTCAAAAAGTTTGTTGAGCCAGATGTAATAGAAAGATACTGCTTACCTGTAAGAACGGGGGGGGGGGGGGGGGGGGACTAAAAATAGTGTAGGCACATTGGGTATAGATTTTTAGGAAATAGCAAGTAGTGTTTTAGCTGAAACATAAATATCTTTAATTCAAATAATCTGAATTCAATAAGTCCTGAGTTCCTACCATATGCTGAGCACTCTGCATGACACTGAGTTTAACAGAGCAGAAAACAGTCCCCTTCCTCTCGAAGCGTACAGAGTAATGGATATATCCTCCAAAACTATCTTTCTTCTGTGTGATTCCATGTTCATCAAGGAACTTCTGAAATATAAATTCACCCTCCCCAAAAGTTTAAGAGATCAGCTTTCTGGTTAAAGTATCAGCCTACCCCTAATGAATTAATAATTCATGGAGCTGGAGGTGGGGGGAGGAGAAGAAAAATTAATTCGTCAGGGGCATCTCGTTGGCTCAGTTGGAAGAGCAGGAGACCCTTGATCTTGGGGTCATGAGTTCGAGCCCCACATTGGGTTGCAGAGATTACTTAAATAAACTTAAAAAAAAATTATTTTAAATAATTCATTAGTTGTTGGTGTGAGTGAATCCCCAAAGGCTGATCAATTCCGACTAATTGGGGAGATGTAATTTCTCAACCTTCAGAGCTCAGAATCAAATACGGGACAGGAATCATGTCCCTACAAAGAAGATATGTATATACGGGGCACCTGGGTGGCTCAGTCAGTTAAGTGGCCAACTTGAGCTCAGGTCATGATCTCACAGTTTGTGAGTTTGAGCCCGCGTTGGGCTCTGAGCTAACAGCGTGGAGCCTGGAGCCTGCTTGGGATTCTGCGTCTCCCCCTCTCTCTGCCCCTCCCATGCTCATGCTCTGTCTCTCTGTCTCCCAATAATAAATAAACGTTAAAAAATTAAAAAAAAAAAAAGATACTGCCAAATGAGTTGCTAGGTTACCCTCAGGCAATGGACCTTTATTTCATGAGGTCCTCTAAACTGCTATTATAGTTAACGCATAAAATTGTTAAGAATAAAAAATACTATGTAACACTGCTTCTCAAAGTTTACTATGCCTATGGGTCACCTACAGATCTGTTAAAATATAGACTGACTGAGCAGGTCAAGGGCAGAGACGAGAAACACACCTGGTATACAGGCCACTGAGCCCAGCTAACTGTTCTCTCCCCTTTGTGGCTGTCTTATCTCCTTTCTCATCTCACTTTTCTTGGGAGAAAAGATGCTTTTCCTCATATTTGCACCTTCCAAAATCCGAGCCGAATCAGAACACCTTCCAGAGGCATTAAATACATGCCAGCTCAATGAATGACATCCAGCTTTTGTCATTACTTCTGTAGCGATGAACAGAATTGTTTCTTCCTCTGAATTTATTCTACAGAGAAAAGTTATTTCTGAAAACTGAAATATCAGAAAAATCTATTTTTTTAAAAAGTCAAGAATTGTATTCGCAACACGATCCACTGCATTTTCTCATGCTCATTAATCTTAAAGATATATATATATATGTGTGTGTGTGTATATATATATATACACACACACACATATCCATAGCTAACTTGCTCATTTATCCCCTAATGATTTTTCCATTTTTTTGTAAATAATTTACTAAACAAAAACAACTAATTCATTTGGTTTCCTGGGGAAGTCTTAAAATTAAAGGGGCCCCTGGCTGGCTCAGTCCAAGGAGCATGGGACTCTTGATCTTGAGGTTGTGAGTTCCCAGCCCCACATCGGGTGTAGAGATTACTAAAATAAATAAATAAACAAACTTAAAAAAATAAAACATCTTAACATGAGTCTTAAAGTAATCATTGCCTTCGGATGGATCTTGCACTTTTAAAGGGGCACAGTAATATTAGAAAGCGATCTTAGGAACGGTAACATCTGTAATACCATCATTCCGACTCTTCAGGCTAGCGGTGCTATAAATAAATCAAATCCTATTCCTGTTATCACTAGGTAGATCTTTGGCACGGTTTCCCGTGTCTCTCCGCTGATTTTCTGTGATCACCCAAACGAGACTGGTTTCTTCACTTGTAAACGCACTCGGTCGCCGGCGGAGCCAGGGGACACGTGACGGGGTGTGTCAAGCACTCCAGAGGGGGAACAGGGCTGGAATACTTTTCATCTCTTAAGAGGTTCGCCTCTCCGGTCTCCCGGCTCTTGGCCGTGGCTGTGGCCCCGAGTGCGCCCGCTGGCGCGCACACAGGCTGTTATTTCTGAGCAACCGCGGAGGGTGCCCGAGGATCGGGGCGGCGCTGAGACAACGTCAAGGTCTTGCAGCTCAGCGCGGACGGTCGGGGCTCCGCCGGGGCGCCCGCCCCTCAAAGACCCGGGAGGGTTCCCCCCGCCCCCCCCACCCCGCGCCGCGCAGTCGGGCTCGTCCGCCTTCTCTCCTCGAGGCTCTCCCTCGCAGGGCCCTCCCAGGGCCGCGGGGCGCGTGTGCCCGGACTGTCCCCGACGGGCGGGGCGGGCGTTCCGGGGACTGGAGGCGCGGAGGGGGGCCGCCCGTGAGCCCGAGGCCGGTCCCCCCGCGTTCCCCCCCCCC